ATCAGTAGGCACGCATGAGATAAAACGCTTTTAATTTTCACCATATTGCATATAAAGCTAAATAAAGGTGTTGAGAGGTTCAAAAACGTTGTTTGCATCTGTTGATACCAATATTGCATGGGCTTCGCTCTAAATAGCTGGATCAAATTGGGAAGGGCGAGTTCTGCACTGGAAACGATTGTGCAAAGGTAGGGAAGGTCACCAACGCTTCCAGCTGATTGCACAATGACGTCACAACACCAAAAGTAATATTATCTTCAGGTTCTTGGAGAACCATGTCATCGGCAAATGCAGCCTCAGGGATGCAGTTTTCAAATACGTATAGGTAAGAGAGGTAGGGCAGTGGGTGCAGAAGAAAAAATGGCTTAGCCTATCGCCGAATTGTACTTAAGTCATGTTTCTCCCCAGATTTGACGCGCTTTCTTTCACGGTTGGGAACAGTGGTGTAGTATCTCAAAAATAGTTTACGGGGGCTGAGCCCAAAAATTATGAAAAGTTAAATATAATGGATAAAAATGCCAAGTAAAAATAGGAAACTCCATCACTGGTTAGGAGGCATAAGACCCCAAAACATAATGGATACAAATGCTAACTAAAAATATGAAAATTCCTCACTGGTTAGAAGGCACAATTCCCTCAGCTCAACTAAAAAGGAAATTAAACGCCTCTAGGTTGGTTATGCTAACTATGTCTTCATCTGATGATTTTATTAGTTCAGTCTCAACCATCATTCAGTGTTTGATGGCGGGCAAATGATACTTTGGTACAAATAAACTCCCAAAGTGAAAATGTTTCGTGAATATGCCACATTTTATTGATTCGCCTTTGTTTTTTGTGGTTTATCGTCAGTGGAGTTATATTGCAATGGTTCTGAAAAATTTGGCTCCACATGACAATTTAGACGATTCCAAATTTCGTCGATGACAGAAAAGATACTTTTTGCCGCTGTGTTTACGAACAGCACATCATATGTTTCACCTAAGGACCTGGACCTATGGACTACGCATCACAAACTCGTAGAAAATAGGGCAAGATGTGACATACTTGTAGCATTACCCAACACTGTGCCACTATAATGCTTTGAACGTCTCCTACGGCTTTGGAAGCCATTTTTAGCCCTGTTCTTCTCATTGATGTGGCTTTAACAGCAAGTCACAGTTTTTACAGGAGAACATTCAGGGCATTAAGCAAAGAACAATTGCCAGCCATTACCACGATATAGCGCTTATGTAAGAATAAGAATACACGAACATACCTGTACATTCTAAAGAATTCAAGCACATAGGTATCACGCATCACGCTTCATTCAAACATACAAGCGAGTTGAAGTGAGCAGTCATCACACATCACGCATTAATTATACATGCAAGCGGTTTCAATTGAACAGGCATCGCACATCACGCGTCAGGCATCACTTACACGTGTAAACGATTTAAGCTAGCACACATGATACATAAAGACAAATATCACGTTCGCATAATTGGCCATGATGAGCCCTGTTTGTTAAAATTTGGTCGCCGACTCTTTATAAGAATAGGTTCACTTATTTTCTTGTCTGGGTGGTGCTGTGCTCCGTAGATAACTTTGAACTCTAAAAGAGGTATAGGGTACGTACCTCCCTCGATTTCGGCCTGAGCGTGTGACAATAAGCTAAAAAAGTATCTGATGAAATCTTCTACATTGAAGCCTAAGAGCCCGGATGGCATTAGAAAAAAAGCATGGCTTACAAAATCAATTGTAAACTATGTGAAAAGCATAGGAGGGACATAGTCTATGTCGGGGAGTTCACGCGCCCTATTCATTTGAGATATAATGAACACATGCGAGACGCCAAAACAAAACAGGGAATACCCCTTTTGCTGACCAGTTTTTGGCAAAACACGCTCAGGCTGAAATTGAGGGAGGTGTGGTCCCTATCCCCTTTCAGAGTTCAGTCATCTACAGAGCACAGGACCATCCAGACAGGAAAATGAGTGAATCTATTCTCATACAAAGTCGGCGACCAAATCTTGACATACAGGGCTCTTCATGGCTGATTATGCGAACGTGATATGTATCTTTATGTGTGATGTGTGCTGGCTTAGAATAGTTTACATGTGCAAGTGATGCCTGACGCGTGATGTGCGATGCCTGTTCACTTGAAATCGCTTACATGTATAACTGATGCGCGATGCGTGATCCCTGTTTACTTCGAATCGTTTGCGTGCTTGAATGAGACATAATGCGTGAAGCCTATTTGCATGAACTCGTTTGAATGTACACGTATGTTTGCGTGTTCTAATTCTTAGATAGGCACTGTATCGTGGCAATGGCTGGCAATCGCTCTTTGTTTAGTCCCTTTAATGTAGAAACAGTAACAGAAGTGAACTCGAGGTAGTGTCCAGTGTCCATTCAAGTTGGTGTTCTATAAAAACTGTGGTTTGCTGTTTAAAAAAAAAAACTTAATATCGAGTGTGATCATCGGCAGGCAATTTTGAATGTCCTTCTGCTATTGTTTCGATAAAGACATGTTCACGAAATATCAACCCAACTCTATCTTTATTCCCCTGTTTTTTCTCCGAGGAATAAGGCTATTATTAAAGTCTTATGCAAGTGTTTATCTGAGGCTGCGCAGACCAATTCAAAAGCGTCATCCACATTGTCGTAGAATGTTCAGCCCCTGAGATAACATAAGGGGAAGATAAAGTGTTAAATGAGCCTAATTCACCTGGTTCGACCTGTCGAAGGCCACATGAACCACTGATCAGCCGCACCTATCTAAAACAGTTTGACAAGAGTTTTCAGACGCGTTTTTTCCCCGTGGCTCTGGCATGCTCAGTTGTTGAGATCTTAGTGATGGCCTCTGAACCCTGCATTAGGGCGTAGGCTACGAAACGCTGGAATGGCGAGGGTTGATGGACAACCTACACATAGCACGCGCCGGGTGGGGGCAAACTGACCCCCCTCCCGGAGGTTTTTCCAGAATGATTCCGAACGGCGCGGAGTAGTTGAGCCAAATTTTGCATATTGTTGACAACTGACTAGAGGATCGTTTGGTGTAAGAGATTTAGATGCACCTTCTAAGGTCACTGACCTATGGCAGGTCAAAGTCAGGCCATGGTTTCACCGAAGTCAATTTCTAGGGAATCGTTCACTCTAATGCAACAACGGAGTGTTTGACAAACCTATACATCTTTGAGATGCTTTATTAGGCAACACAAACATTGAGTGAGCAGATTACGTTGACCTAACGTCAGGTATGAAGGTCAGACCAAGGTCAAAGCCAACCTGTGTTATTGCTCTAGGGCTTGCTGTATGGGGTAGTTTCCGGTTCTCATTTTGAATTCATTGATAGCAGGAACCGCATCATGCATCTTCCATTGACTTCTTAGAGGTCGGAATAGGTCATTGACCTAAGATGACCCAGGTCGACATTTTTAGGAGCATACTGCCTAGCGTAATCTTTGTCGCTCATTCAAATGCAAAACTCAGGGCAGACTTGTATGATTTTGGTCACCATGACCTCTAAAAGGTCAAGCAAGGTCACTGACCTTATGTCAGCTTGTGACCCTTTTGCTCAGAAGCAGTTATCTAGGTTCTGGGGATACTTTGGAAAACAACCTGGAATCTTACCTTGTTTGACCTATTCGACGCAAAGGTCATGACCCAGTGACCTCAAGCAAATTAACCCACCACCCACCCGAGCGAAGGGTGTCTAGCCGGCCACCCGGGCGCGTGATAGTTGAGTTGAGCCTCCAGCGAAGAAAACTGGAGAGCTTTCGGTTTCGCCTAGCTGGGACTTTGTAAGCGCCTGTGTTGCCCGGCTGCAAAGCCCACACCCTCGATCTACTGGCACGCGTCGCACCACGAATCAGCAGCTAACAGGCATCACGGGCTGCTGAACAATTCAGGACACTATTAATTACGATGCCAGGTATATTTCTGTGTCGCCACATCAACACGGAAGAGCGGACATGGAGGGTGATATGCCTCTTGCGTGCACAATGTACCAAGTACGGGATCGGAGCGCTATGAAAATAATACCACAGTTCAGTCTCCTTCGAAGGAACAATCATCCAAGGCTGTTACCCCAAGGGCTGGTACTCAAATCGCTGATTGGGGGGACATTTGCCATCAGAATCTGGCACAATGTTCCCGACCATTACAATGTGCGGTCTGTTCGAACGCACATCTCGAACACTGGTAATGGTGTCAACGCCATTTACACATGAATCTGGATGAACATCGTGTACATAAGTGTCCAGCGCACCTCGCTCAATACGCTGCCGACGTAGTGTATCCTTCTTGTAAGACCTTTTCACATCCGCAAAAAATAAAATCTGAACCAAGGGCCCTACCTTCTTGTTCGTAGCCGCTGTTTATTACAACAATATTCGACGTCAAAACCTGCAGAAACTTCAGACCCTGACGACGTTGTAGCCTGCTCAGGGCAACAAACTTGACTAGACTGACTATGGCGATGACAAGCATACAAGGTTAAGCATATCGTGATAGTTCTCAAAATACGTAGGCCGGGAAAATGCTGTCCAATAACAGCTGTCCGAAATGACACTGCTGACATTCCAGACATACAGCCCAAAGCCACAGAGCAACAAAGAATTTCTTAACTTGACACCACTGCCCAAAGAAACCTTCAGACAGCCTCTGTTTTGCAGCCACGATATGACTGTGGCTGCTTGAATGCTTCGAGAGGATTCGTTTCCTGAGTGGCGTGGCCAGCTTTGTCGCGTCATCATTCCGGATGTGTTCGCACATAGACACATATAGACAACCAGCGGAGCCCTCATCCAGCCCATCGCCAAACAGCCAGGGTACACCAAACACCTGGACGAGCATATCACAACACGCATAGTCCAGTGGCTAGGATATTCACATCAGGCCGCATCGCGTTGTCTTAGCCAGAAAACGTCCTCGGCTGCATCACTGTGCGCTGCACCGCCGCGCACCTGATGCCCGTTGGCCAGCAATGCGGGCGGCCCGCGCCACTGTGCGCCGCACTGTCACACCACACTCTCGCGCTGGTCCGAAGGCTCGCCAGTCCGCACCACTGTGTCCCGCGCCCGGCCCGGCGTCCTGCCGTGGTCTATCGTGGCGTAGACCACGGCCGTCCCGGGGGTCACGCCCTCTGACCGACCTCGAGGTCTTGCCCGGCCGCGGCAGGCTGAGCTCCGCGTACGTGACGCTGTCCCCCTGCCGGCCCGCGCGCCATCGGTTTAAACACGGCGCCGAAGCGGCGTGAGGTTAGTTGTAGCGTGCGGTTGGTACAGGCTGGACATCTTGGTGCTCCGTATTTTTTTTGATTTTTGATGTGGGGGGGGGGGTGGGTTGCTGAGAAAGAGGCTGCAATTCTGGTCATGATTCTACGAATTATAGATTGCAAAACGGTATCAAATCACAAACGGTTTGGTGGATTGGGATTTTAATGGATTCCGGAACAGGCGTCGTGACACGCTGGCAGATTAGGGAATGTTCAGAAATACGGTCGAGTGACTCCATAACTCCAGCCTGGAGCCAATCTAACGATGTTAGCAGTCTGTGATCAAAATAGCTCCAGCGGTCTCTTCAGAACTAAACATTTTCCGAAATAAGAGGTCACAAGCCAAGTACGTGCGTAGTTTGGAAAGAAGACGCACCAGACGGCGGTGCAAGCCTGAAAGGTCGTCACAGGATGAAAAGTTAAACAAAAGGTCAATCCGTGTCCAGCGGCGCACCAGTCAGCACACAAATGGGACTCCACGAAATGCCGTAAATGGCCTAAAGACCGGCGCTTTTGCATTGGGGCGACACCGAACAATTACATCATGATATCATGCGTAAACGTGTTTGTGTGCAGCTTGCATTTCTGGCTTTTATTTTTGTACCCAGCGTGGGATAATAAGCTTCCTAAAACTTGCACGCGTTTGCATGCGTAAGATGGACGAGGTTCGGCGTTGCTAGCCTGTGTTGTGGTTTTCTGTGTGCACGGCATCCCACCCAAGCCTTTCATGTGGGGCCGAATCGTGTGCACGCCTTCACTGGCTACGGCACCCGAACAAGCACTGGTGGCGAATGGCCGCTGTGCAAATTTTGTCTCGCGTACGCGGCCCATGGTAAACTGTGCCTTTGCAACTTGTCTGCTACTGCAGTAAGGTGGTTGGTCTACACACTGTGAATGCAGTAGTAAGCTACCCCGATTACCCAGATTAAGCTAGCTGTGGTGCAGTTCTCAGCGCATTGTCGGATCACAGCACCTTGAGTGCGGTTCTTCGTCGGTACTGCACCTGGCGGGCCCGCGCTCGTCTGATTCTGAGCCGCCGCGGGCTAGACCGTCTGCGCTCGCCGGGTCTTGAACCACGGCGGCCTAGGCCGTCTGCGCTCGTCTGATTCTGAGCCGCCGCGGACTAGACCGTCTGCGCTCGTCTGGTCTTGAACCACGGCGGCCTAGGCCGTCTGCGCTCGTCTGATTCTGAGCCGCGCGGCCTAGGCCGCCTGTGCTCGTCTGATCCTGACCCGCGGCGGCCTAGGCCGTCTGCGCTCGTCTGATTTTGAGCCGCGGCGGTCTAGAGCCTGTGCTCGTCTGATCCTGAGCCGCGGCGGCCTAGGCTGTCTGCACTCGTCTGATCCTGAACTGCGGCGGTGTAGACCGCTCGCGCTCGTCTGATTCTGAGGCCGCGGCGGCCTAGGCCGTCTGCGCTCGTCTGATCCTGAGCCGCCGCGGCCTAGACCGTCTGCGCTCGTCTGATCCTGAGCCGCGGCGGTCTAGGCCGTCTGCGCTCGTCTGATTCTGAGCCGCGGCGGCCAACACCGCCTGTGGCTCGTCCGATCCTGAGCCGCGGCGGTCTAGGCCGTCTGCACTCATCTGATCCGGAACTGCGGCGGTGTAGACCGCCCGCGCTCGTCTGATTCTGAGCCGCGGCGGCCTAGGCCGTCTGCGCTCGTCTGATCCCGAGCCGCGGCGGCCCAGACCGTCTGCGCTCGTCTGATCCTGAGCCGCGGCGGTCTAGGCCGTCTGCACTCATCTGATCCTGAACTGCGGCGGTGTAGACCGCCCGCGCTCGTCTGATCCTGAACCGCGGTGGTCTGGGACTCCTCTGGCGCACCGTACCTGGTGTATGCAGCGTTTGCCTTCGCTCTGCGCCGAGCAGGAGCCCAGTGACAGCCGACTGCCCCGGGCGCTCACATGCACGTGGTTCAGCAATCGTGTTGATTCGACCACCTCGTGGTCCGGGCCTGGAGGCGAGTGTACAGTGTTACGGAAGATAAGGCTGGGGAGGAATGAAACATCTTAACGTGTCGCCCATGACAACGCAGGTATGGTTTATTTGAAAACGCATGTAATTCTTCAGTGGTCATTGCCCCCCAATCCTCCCCCACCGGCTGTCGCGAGAAACCGAAGCCACGGCTGGTCCGGTGTAAGCATGCTGTTTAATAGCAGCACTCATTCGTTATCCAGGGTGATGCATAGACTAACGCGTACCAGGCTCGTGCACTTAGATCAGACCGAATTAGGAGTACGCTGACACTATTGCCGGAATCTTCACATTCACATGCAACGTTCGTTTTGGACAAAGACGGCATCCAGTCTTCCCTCACCGCGTTCCACAACTTCATTTCCCTACAATGAGCTCTGTTACCAGCACAAGTTCACACCAACTCAGAGCGAATGCGTGGCCCACGCATTAAGACGCTGCCGCATCTTGCTTGCCCTAGCTCACGGGTGCTATGAATACAAATATTTTTCTTCCAAGGCTGAAAGCATTTGACCCAGACTAAACAATTTCATGCTTGCGGAAAACTGAGCGAGGTTTGCTTTGACAACAAGAGGTGAGTTGTTTTGTATAATGGAAAGTGACATGTCAGCATCACAGCAATTTGGTCCTTAATAACAATGTCGAATGCATCGTCAAAAGAACCAAGATAAAAAGCACATCATGCCCAGGCGAGCATCCTGGGTTTGTTTGCCTTACAAAATCTACACAAATAGGAAGAGTCCATTTAAATCACATTGCAAAATTGGTTATAAGTTGACTGAGTAAGGCAAACAAGAAGGATGAGTCTAAGAAGGATGAGTCTAAGAAGGATGAGTCTAAGGAAATTGCACTGCGAAACCCGCCGCAGTTTCCCCAAGGAGGAGCATATCTCACATCTATAGATCCCAGCCATCCCCTGCCGGCGCTTTCGCGGACGTCTCTGCTCCGCTCACCGTATTTGCTGGGAACGACGTCTGGGTTTGCCTCGTCGGCACCGCTCAGTTTGGCGGCCACGCGCAACCCGGCCTCGGCGAAATCGGCGTCGGCTCCCGCTCGGTCCTTGATCATCAGCGAGGAGTTGACCAGGTCGGCATGCTTCACCGGCCTCGGGACGCGACGGCTGCCGACAATCCCGGGCGAGAGATGAGACGGAGGGTGGGGGGGAGGGGGAGGGGGGAGCAGAGCTCCGGCCGGTGCTTTGGGCCCAGCCTTCGACTAATGTCTTGGAGAAGCTGTTTGGTAGGCGTGGGCGCAGGTATTCGATTATATTTAGACCTGCCACAATGCCGCATACAGCAGCGAGCGAACCGAAGCCATTGTGGGCGGGTTGGAAATAAATGCACCGTTGACATCTGATCAAAGACTTCGTTTGGAATCGTTCAGAAGTCAATGCCACATTTCCTCTAGCGTAGCAAACCAATGTTGTGGCGAAAATCCGGCAGCTTTAAGGCGGCGGCGGAGTCAGCAGCCTGTACCTGTGGTTCCTCATGCAAGCGACCACACCGATGGCGATGATGATGAGGGAGGCGACGACGCCGATCAGAACCCCCAGGATCGGCGTCACCGAGAGCTTCTCAGCGGGCGGGCGCGTCAGCTGGCGGACAAACAGACCGTGACACCATCGCCTACGTTAGAAGCTTATCACGGCGCCAGTAGTCGGCCGGCGTCTGACGGCGTGGGATCCATCTAGCGTCCTGGTGCAGGTCCCGTCGCTCCGGCCTACGGCACGCCGCTCCGGCCTACGACATGCCGCTCCGGCCTACGACACGCCGCTCCCGCCTACGGCACGCCACTCCCGCCTACGGCACGCCGCTCCCCGCCTACGGCACGCCGCTCCGGCCTACAAAACGCAGCTTCGGCCTACGATACACCGCTCTGGCCTACAGCACACTGTTCCGGCCTACAACACACCGCTCTGGCCTACAGCACACTGCTCTCGCGCACACCATGCCGCTCCGGCCTACAACACACCGCCCCGGTCTACAAACGCAGCTCCAGCCTACGATACACCGCTCCGGCCTGCGGCACGCCGCTCCGGCCTACAACACACCACTCCGGCCTACAACACACCGCTCTGGCCTACGACACACCGCTCCGGCCTACAACACACCGCTCCGGCCTACGGCACGCCGCTCTGGCCTACGACACGCCGCTCCGGCCTACGACACGCCGCTCCCGCCCACACCATGCCTCTCCGGCCCACAACACACCGCTCCGGCCTACAACACACCGCTCCTGCCTACGGCACAGCGCTCCGGCCTGCGGCCCATGGCACAGATGATGGACAGTAACATAAGACAACTTCCCCGCGAGGGGAAATTTTCTTATGTGAAAATGTCAGACACGCTGCCGTGAAATGCTAATAAAATGCACCGAGGATGTACGTCGTGTTCAAGCAATGAAACTGGCAATATTGTTGCAAGCAGTGAGAGAGTGCGAGACTGACCCGTGCTGCTGCTGATGCGCTTCTCGGCCGCCTTTAGCGTGAAGCCGTCCAGCGTGATGGCTCGGCTGCGTCCGCGGCTGTTGGCCGCGTACAGCTCGAGCCGCAGCTCCAGCCCCGGCGGCAGCTCCAGCACCGCGAAGTGGGGGAAGGGCCGGGTGAGGTTGCGCACCAGCCGCCGGCCAACCACGTCAAACAGCTCGGCCACGAAGTACTGTGGCAGACCGCCGTCGAAGCCGGTCGCACACTTCACCTCCAGCGAGTCGGACGTCTGGTTGATGACGGTGCAGTTCCACAGCGGCTCCGGAGGACCTGGCCAGCAGGTCGGCGGTGGTGCTTAGAGCCGCCGCCGGCTGTCTCAATCCCACACGGCTTCGGACAACACGGAGCTATTCCGAGCCGCGCCATGAAAGCTGAGAGCTCACCGGACGCATTTCTGCGATAAATCTCCTGGTGTTAACCGCTCTTCGTCGATCGACACGCCAGCAGACAAATGGGGTGACAAACTGCCCGACCGAATCTCATCAGGCCCCGGGAACGGCTCTCCATCACCAGCGGCACGTGAGGTGCATGTGATAGGCAGCCGTGGCCGGCACAGTCACACATGGCATGGAAGACAGTGTTGAAACGATGCCCGCACAAAACCGAGTGAGATCGAGCCGAGGCACGCGGCAAGGCCGCAAAACTAGTGACGACCGTGTGGCATGTTTCAGTATACTGACTGGATTTGTTCATGAAAGGAAGCTTTTAGCCAGAAGTTTATTTAAAAGATTTGCGAGGTATTTGTTTGAAAATTTTGAGACAAGAATTCAACACAAGTTTTGAAAGGCATTTGCCAAAAGTCATGCAATACTTAAAGCATTCCAAGGTGTTTCAAAAGAAGAAGATGGATATTGTTTATGTGTTTCAAAAGACTTAAGTAAATTTAAAAATTAATCGAAAACATTTACGGCACTTAAATACTGAAATACATATCTAACAAATATATTCTGGAAATATTAGTTCACAATATTTTTATTACTGCCCTAGAGAGGCCTGGGAGCAGTGTGCTCGCTTCATCTCACCGATCCGACCCTCTTATCCGCTTATCTTTGCTTCATGCTACATCCACGCAACATGCTGCTTGCCCGGGCAGGCTGCTTGTCCGGGGCAAGCTGCATGCACCAGCCACGAGTGGGCCCAGAGGCCCCCTAAAGAGCGAACCCGACCGGACGTTCACCGCATGCCCACGTAGGGGTCCCTGCATGGGCTAAGGCTCGGCGGCGTTTCCCAAGGCGCATGCAGCTCAACCCCACCGTTATCCATTCTCCTTAATCCCAAATCCCTGAAATTATCATTGATGGTCGAAAGGGCTGTCATCCAGACATCCAATGAGGCAACCAATCTCCCCTCACCTGCGGGCACAATGTTGAAGACGCAGGGCTTGACCATGCGACCGATGTCGTTTTCCGCCGTACAGAGCAGCGTGCCGTAGTCCAGCTCCGTCTTGGGCGTGTAGGAGGCGCGGCTCTCCACGCCTCGCGATGCAATCTGGTGAACGAGAGCGGTCTGGTCTCTGCTGCGCAGTCACACCGGGGCTGCCGGCTAGACGCGTGTCTCTGGCCTAATGCACCGTGTCTTTTCACTCTGTTGTTTGGCGGAACGGGGCTTAGTCACTTAGAGTGGGATACAGCTGAGTCAACACGGCGCGTAGTTGGAAACGGCTGCACCTGCCAGGTCAAATGGAGGTCGATGTCAAATGATGGTGCCGTAACGGCCGCTCGGTCACCTATTTCGTTCCATTATTACACCCTGTTTTTTTGTTCTGTCGCGTCCATAATGTCACGCGGTCACCACTTCAAAGAAAACACATAAATGGGGTCTTTTTAAGATATCGAAGCGCTTGAAAATTCCTCGACCACGACTGCATTTGTTATGGAGTTGACAAGCTTCTGTTTGCTGCCTGTATGCTCTCACGCTGAAGAGGCCCTAGGGCTTTAAAACTCGGTTGCATACAATAACGTTAGACTCACCACGGCTAGTATAGGATTAGTATAGTATAGTATAGTATAGTATACTTAGTATATAGTATATAGTATATAGTAAGTATAGTATAGTATAGATAGTATAGTATAGTATAGGATTCATACCAGGAGTGCTCCGATATTATTAAGCGCGGAGCGTGACCACATGTTGCATGCACTTTTCAACAACTGGTCACAGTCCAAAAGGCTCCATGTTTGCCTGTTACAAATCTACTGCCTATTAATCATGCCTGCTCGCCCGCCTCTGCAAGAATTGTGAATGTCGTTTGGACAGGGAATGGGCCGGCCAAAGTGCATGCAGAATGGGGCGCGGCCTATGCAGCACAGTAAACGCCACGCCCAAGACGACACAACGCCATTTACACATTGATGTTCCCACGAGTGGCACGGCTAATACGACAATTCTGCCACGGTCAGCACGTCCCGGCTACGGACTGACCTGTGAGAATGGCAGGTCAAGCGTCTCTGCTGAACTGTTGAACTGCCACCTGAAGATGACATCCGCCAGACTGACCTGTGAGAATGGCAGGTCGAGCGTCCCTGCTGAACTGTTGAACTGCCACCTGAACGAAACGTATGCCAGACAACCTGTGAGAATGGCAGGTCGAGCGTCTCTGCCGAGCTGTTGAACTGCCACCTAAAGGTGACATCCGCTGGGCTGGCCTCCACCTGACACGTGACGCGCGCCGCCTCGTTCCGGGCCGTGCCGTACCGGCTCTTCTGGCCCGACACACACACGGGCGCGTCTGCGGCCAGAGCGTGCCGGTCAGTAACCGCGGCGGGGAGGAGGAGGGGGGGGGGGGGGGGGGGGGGAGGGGGGGGGGAGGGGACGTACCCGGCTCTTCTGGCCCGACACACACACACGGGCGCGTCTGCGGACAGAGCGCGCCGGTCAGTAACAGCGGCGGGGGGGGGGGGGGGGGACGTGCCGGCTCTTCTGGCCCGACACAACACACAGGCGCGTCTGCGGCCAGAGCACACTGGTCAGCAACCGCGGCGGAGGAGGAGGAGGGGGGGGGGGGGGGGGGGGGGGAGGGGACGTGCCGGCTCCTCTGGTCGACACACACGGGCGCGTCTGCGTCCTCAGCATCAACACGAGCGGCACGAGTTCCGTCAACATAAGTCGTCGGTCTCGTTACACCTCAGTTCCTGCTGTAAACGGCGAGTATTTGCATGCAGCAATTGAATGATTACTTGATATCTTCTTTCGATCAGCACTCCTGGTAAGTTGCGTACCAACTATTTTCAACATAGAAGTTTGAAGCCGAACATACCTGCAAAAGTGTGTTGTTATGCGTCTAACAGTTAGCAGAAGTCACGATTGACATATTTCTGTTGCATTTATTTACAACATGATTATTATCAACAAGCCGTGACCTTTGACATGGCTAGTGGCGTCATCAGTGACCGACAGGTCAGCAGACCAAAGTGTGGTGGAGTCAAGCGATCCATTAGTCCCCGCCGTTTAAACCAGCCTGGTCAGCAACGTTGCCTCTCCCTCTTAACCACAATCCAGCACCTGAAAATGGCAAATACCCCAAGCAAATGCCAGGTTAAGGCCTACTACAGTTGAAGACTGCGAAGATCTTGCCGCCTCTGCATATACATCATTATCATCGCTTTGTTCAGATGACGTAATGTATAATACGAGAAAGCCTCACCTTGGTAAATCGCCGGGTTTAACTTGAAAGTACCTTTGCAATGCCATCTCAATAAAAACACAGCCCATCGCAGGATTATCATTCGATCCTTTTCCTATGCTTTGTTCGCCACTGGCGGGACGAAAATGCACAACATTTCAGCGATCTTTAACAAATCGTTCGCTGTCAGCTGGGGTCATCCGTTACAACAGCGTTCCTATTCTCCAACATTTCTTTACAGCACCGGTCGATTGCGTGCTTCATTCAACGAAGTTCGTTCAATCAAACGTGGAAGCAGCGGATCGGAATCCTTTTCATCAGAGTCCCACTCTTCCCCCACACCAAATCAGGCGGAACTGAACAATCAACTTCAGTGCGTTCTGAAATCCACTAAAAAGCCGGCACTAGTCCAAGCTGCCTGCCGTCAAGAACCCTCCCCCAGACAGCCGTCCCGGCGCTCGCCACGCTGCTCGGGCGAACCCGTCCCTCCCTACCACCCCTGAAGCGGCCAGGGAGTTCTCAGACCCCCGCCCTTCCTCGTCTCACCGGCTGACCCGCCGCCGCCGCTGCGGTGCTGATCGACCCACGGGCGAGCCGGGTGGCCCTATTTCAACCTGGCCGTGCGACCACGCAGCGGCCGGCGGCGCATGCTAACTCAATCAGGTCCGCCATCGAGTGGACGAGGGCCGCTTTCCCGGCCGCGTCAGGTCACGCCCCGCGACACCGAAAAACAGCTGAGATGGAGCGGTCGACATTACGACACGGCTGCCAACGTGCGTGCCGATGGGTCCGACACGTCCCACCAGCGGACGCTTCTCAGCGGCCGTGCGCTGCCCTGAGCCCGGTCTTCAGCGGGCGTGCAAGCCTAAGGCCGTGCCTTGGCGATCATCGCAGACTGTTACCAGTGCCAGCACGCTGAGGTGATCCCATCCAACAGTTCTCGACGCTGTCGCAGAAGCCACAATCAATGCGTACATTTGTGTTCGAGTCGGAGCTGGCAATGTCCCACCTCAAGCGTTGAGCTTTGTCGTAGTTTTTTACCCGTGACCTGGGCACGTTATTTAACGCGCCCGGGTAGCCGCTTGAATGATCTTCGCTCGGGTGGTGGGAGGGGAGGGGGGAGGGGGTCAAGTTGACCCAGCTCAGATCTCAAAAACTAACAGCTAAAAATACAAAATTCACAGAGTATATAGGTCGGTACTTGAACTCACTTGCCTCAGATGCTGAGGTCCCTAGGTTATTAGCTAATAGTCAGGTAAGGTCAAACGAGGTCACACTCCAGATCGGTGTCCCGAAGTGCCCTCAGACCTTCTCATGCATGGTCCTTTAACTTAACATTCTCCTCTTATGAGGAAAAGATCAGCGGTGTTAATTCGATCAGTGATCGGTGTTCGAACTCACTTGCCTCAGATGCTGAGGTCCCTAGATTATTACATACTGGTCAAGGAAGGTCAAACGAGGTCACACTGCAGATCGGTGTCCTAAGTGCCCCCAGAACTCCTCATACATTCTCCTTTAACCTACATACTTCTTATAAGCAAAAGATCATTTGTGTTAATTTCAGGTCAGTTAACTTATTTGACGTACAGAAGGGCACGGCGATCAAAACACCTACGGAATTGCTTACATTTTTATGGTCGTAAAGGATTACGCTTGGCGATATGTTGTTAAATACATGGTTGATCGGGGTCATTTCAGGTAAGTGATCTTCTCCGACCTCCATGAAGAGTCAAAATAAGATGTCTGTTGGCATCCCTGTGATCAAGATATTCGGGATAAGCGTCATAAGCTTACCCATAAAGCAGGTTCTCCAGTAAAAAAGCAGTGAGGTTTGAACTTCGGTCTGACCTTTACACATGACCCCAGGGTGTTGGGAAAGCTCGTAATCCTAAAGTCAGCTGTCTAATTGTCTACGCAACCACCTCAAAGATGCATGGATTCGTCTAACGTTTCGTTGTCACGTCGGATTGATGATTCCCTAGGAATTGCCACCGACGACAGCCATGAACTGACATTGACCTGTCATAGGTGACCAAACTTATGATGTGCAAACTCATTTGTGCACCAGGCATGGGATATTCCACTGCCTACATGTTAAAAAGTTTAGCGTGCAGTTCGAAAGTCATCTTAGAAAAAACAGCTTATGGGGAGGGTCGAGTGACCTCCACCCGAACGCGTATTAAACCCTTATCGGAGAGGGTCACGTGGCCTCCACCTGAGCGCGTGTTAACCCCTTATCGGAGAAGATCACGTGGCCTCCACCCGAGCGCGTGTTAACCCCTTATCGGAGAGGGTCACGTGGCCTCCACCCGAGCGCGTGTTAACCCCTCATCGGAGAGGGTCACGTGGCCTCCACCCGAGCGCGTGTTAACCCCTTATCGGAGAGGGTCACGCGGCCTCCACCCGAGCGCGTGTTAACCCCTTATCGGAGAGGGTCACGTGGCCTCCACCCGAGCGCGTGTTAACCCCTTATCGGAGAGGGTCACGTGGCCTCCACCCGAGCGCGAGTTAACCCTTGTCGGAGAGGGTCACGTGGCCTCCACCCGAGCGCGTGTTAACCCCTTATCGGAGAGGGTCACGTGGCCTCCACCCGAGCGCGTGTAACCCCTTATCGGAGAGGGTCACGTGGCCTCCACCCGAGCGTGTGTTAAGCCCTTGCTGCTCGTATTTGGTCAGCAAACGCTGAGCTGGCGACCAAGAGGTGAGCCCACCTTGAACGAGCGAGCGGGGGTGAGCGAACAGCAGCATTGTCAGGCACTATCACTAAACAGCCTTATACAATGTCAGAGTCAACAATAAAACTATTACACACATCATAAGTGCACAGCACATTTTGAGCAAACAACCGAACAAGACGTTGACTTAAAAACGACGGGCGTAAATTAGTTCACCGAGCAACATTTCAACAACAACCAAAACGGTCAAACTGACACACAACTGGCTACAAAGCCCTTGCATTTTGGTCGGTTTGAATAAATGCACCAACAGGTGTTTTGTCAAAAACCTTAGAGGTAAGGAGATCAAAGGGAGGTTTGCAGGTGCCAATGTGCTTGATAATGCTAACTGAACGCTGGTAATACACATGGTTGATCCAGCAACGCATCAAAGGAAGTGTAATTGGATATGCCATCAACGTACAGCGAAACTGGGTCATAGTCTTCACTTCATGAAGTCCTGCTCTTGGCAACTTTTGTTCAAAGTTACTATATTTGAAAAGTTTTTTGTTGCTTTTTGCGATGTGATGGTTTTGCTGCTGACAGGGTTCTTGTGTTCGGTTGTAACGACGTTTGCAAATACGGATATTGATAACTTTTTTTTCCCAATTTGCAATAAGCTTCCCAGCCTGAAACTCCGCGACATGTGAATGATTAATTATGTGCCCCGAGCCATCATTAGTTAGAAGCTCTTATACCTAGTCAACGGCCTTCAATATACCAAGAGGCACTGGCGAAGCGACTTTGTAATGCTGCACAACGATGATATTGACTCTACTCAATATTTCTTACTGTGGCCGCTGACATACCAGACATATGGTCATATTCAAAGGCATAGTCAACGACAGTCAGAGTGACATAGTCACTCTTGGTGATGAGCACAGCTCAAAATATTGGAAACTGTCAATATAACCGTGATTTAGCACTATATACGATGTTGTTTAAACAGGTGTCTTCCGGTATATTGAAGACCGTTCACACGCGCCCGGGTGGCCGGTTCAATGCTACTCGCTCGGGTGGGGGGTTAATTTGATCCCTCGAAACAAACAACTGGGGTCTATATATACCATATTCACAGAATAAGTTGCTCTGCATATGAACTCACTTTTGTAAAAAAAAAATGAGATGCATAGATTATTACCTTTGAGTCAAACAATGTCGAATAAGGTCAAACTCAATGTTGGTCTTCAAGGTGCTCCCATACCTCCTCATACAACTGCTTTAAACCTCTTGCTGAGCCCTAGATAACTGGTTAAAGCAAAAGTCGGTGGTGCTTATTTAGATTGGCGACCTTGTTTGCGCTTAGAAGGTCATGTTGACGAAAAACCTACCAGATTGTTTTCACTTTTCTACGTTAGACGGTACGTTCTCAAAAGCGAAAGGTTGATCTGGGTTTTTTTAGGTCAGTGACCTACTCCGAACTTCAAGCAGGTCAATGAAGATGTCTGTTGCGGTCCCTATTATCAAAAACTTATAAACGAGCATCAGAAACTACTCCACAAAGCAAGCTTTCCAGTAAACAATAGGTTAGTTTTGACCTCGGCATAATCTTCATCCTGACTCCAGATCAGTTAAATGTGCGGTAATTCTAAATTCAAATATTTCTTTTTGGCATAAGAAATCATCTCAGATATCTAACATTCCGTTGTCGCACTACATTGAGCCACTGCTAAAATTGCCTCCGCTGACAGCCACTGTCTGACAGTTAGCCTGCCATGTCACTGGACCTTACAAGGAATATCCAATTTTGAAGACAAAATATCTGCCACTAAATTGCCTACAGTTAGGCATAGTTTGGCGCAGGCCGTATGGCGCCGTTCGGAAGTTATTCTGCAAAAACCTTCAGGTAGCAAATTGCTCCTCCTCGCCGCGTGTAGACTTAACGTAAGCGCTTTTAACTCATGATGACGAAAAACCTTGAGCTGATGGCCTTCCTTTCTTATCTCAAGGTCCATGAGCTGATTAAGTGATGGTTTTAGCCTACATTACTTACTGAACTCTAAATCCGACTCAAGCATTTTTGTTGGGGGTCAATTCCAACTAATGCGACTGACGTCCAGTGATTCCGAACTTACGGTGATTCTGGACACAACTGCGACTCGAGCCGGAGTCGACCGCAGACCTGCACTCGGCAACCTTGGTGATTCCGGCCGGCACCAAAACTCAGTCGACTCGAGCCGGAGTCGACCGCACGCCTGCACTCAGTAACCTTAATGATTCCAGCCGTCACCAAACTCAGTCGATAAGGCGCCATCGTCGAAAACCTGACCACTGTGCGCCAGACGCGCGTGTTTCGCGTTAACGACACTGTGCTTCATCAACCGTTCCAGGATGGTCAGAGTTGACAACTAACTAAGGGAAGGTAAATCTTTCAAGATGCTCCCAGCCCGGTTGTCTTATCTATCCATATATTGCGTCATAGGTTATGAAATGCGTGTTGCTTCCACAACGCTAATATAAAGGACGGGCTTTACAATGTTGGACGCGTCCAAAAATGAATCGCTCCCCTGTAGCAACAACAGCAAAGGCGTGCGGGCTAAGTACAAGAGACCGAGCTCAGTCAAGTTTTCTACGCTGATAAGTTGACAACGGCTTGTAGAGAGTCAAGCTGAGATGGGGAGCGGCCATGGCACGGCATTAAAGCGCCGCGTTAAAGCTACCGACTCAAGTCGTCGCTGAAAGTGGCATTGGTATCTTGGAGTGTTGGGATTACTCCCTTCGTAAGAAACTATTTTAGCAAGAACTGCACAATTACTGCAGAAAATCCGATCAACTTTGTTTCTGACAAATTACAAATTAGTGACGGCAGAAGCATGTAGATCGCAAAGATAGTCAATTACACTGAAACATCTGAATATCATGTACAATGGTAATGGATGCGAGTGAACGGCATGACCGAGGCGCCACTAAACCTGAACATCAAATCCAGGCTTAGCATGGTCCCTGACCTGAGCAATGACAGGAGATAATTTGAAAACAATGACGATATTGGCACTTTGGTAAAATGCGCACCACTCATCATAAGTGACACTTTATGCTGGTCTATCGAACGATTTGCCTTCTTTTCGGCATGGGCTACAGTGACCTAAGGTCATTCATCCAGACGCGATTCGTTTTCTGCAACATGGCGTAACACATACGTGTGATTTATGACTCAGAGCACTCAAAATGATCTGCCGCTCACAAATAACAAGTGCTCACAGATTCATCACAATGTTACAGTTTGACGTGACCTGCAGCGTCATCGGAGACCTTGAGGTCAGCTAAACGGTCTTATGAGTCGTGAGGGCCGAAGGCTGTTGATTTTATTTAAAACCGTCATGGTCGGTCTGCCAGGTGGACATATAGGATACAGGCAAGAAAAGCATCACCGTATAATTTTGGGAGGAGCAAGACTACGAGCTAACACCCCAGTGACTGTTCGTGCTTTGGTGTTCACCTGGGTACCCCGTAAGTGGAATCTCCGAGGCGCACATTACAACCGCGGTTATATATTTTTGCAACTGGTTTCTTTATCGAACGGTATCGTAAAATCTGACTGAGGAGCCATTAAATGATCCATAACATATTTGCCAGTCAATACCGGCCTGAGAACACCTGGCCACAAGTTTCTATAGCAACTTTTCTCACAAAAGGTACGCTATATATGTAAAAGGTATGTGGCATGTAGTTAAGATATCTTTCCAACTTGTCTGCGATCGCTACAGTTAACAAAAGCCAGTTCAAGTTGGCGTAAACGTCTAGTGCTACGTGAAGCCTTGCAACATATACATGGGTTTGAGTTTGAGTGAAGTTTGAGGAACGTACGTACGCTTGAATTTCCGCAATAACGGAAATTAAAAGTTATTTGAATTTAAAGCCATAGGTTTAATGAACCTCAGAAACCAAAAATTCCATCAGAACAACACCCATCTTCAAATACATAAAGGGTTAACATTAACACTTATATAATGTATAATAAATCGCAGGGACAACACACAATCAACAAGCGTTCAGGTGCTATGCTGCCATCATCAAATTCACCAGCGCGGTACAATTCATGTGCGGAAGGTAGCCGTGAGGAGGTGGTCGGGTTTTCACCCGCTGGGGCGTCCTCAGGATGCGGTGAGGAGGTGGTCGGGGTTTTCAACCCGCTGGGGCGTCCTCAGGATGCGGTGAGGAGGTGTTCGTTTTTTAGCTCTCTGGGGCGTCCTCAGGATGCGGTGAGGAGGTGTTCGGTTGTTCGGCCGCTGGTCCGTCCTTAGAGTTACCGTGAGGAGATGGTCGGTTTTGGTTCGGCCGCTGGGCTGTCCTCAGGATGCGGTGAGGAGGTGTTAGGCTTGTTCGGCCGCTGGTCCGTCCTCAGAATACGGTGAGGGGGATGGTCGGTTTGTTCAGCCGCTGGGCCGTCCTCAGGATGCGGTGAGGAAGTGTTTAGTTTGTTCGGCCGCTGGTCCGTCCTCAGGATGCGGTGAGGGGTGTTCGGTTGTTCGGCCCTGGCCGTCCTCAGGATGCGGTGAGGAAGTGCTCGGTTTGTTCGGCCGCTCGGCCGTCTCAGGATGCGGTGGGAAGTGTCGGTTGTTTGGCCGCTCGGCCGTCCTCAGGATGAGGTGAGGAAGTGTCGGTTTGTTGGCCGCTCGGCCGTCTCAGGATGCGGTGAGGAGTGTCGGTTTGTTCGGCCGCTCGGCCGTCCTCAGGATGCGGTGAGGAAGTGGTCGGTTTGTTTGGCCGCTCGGCCGTCTCAGGATGCGGTGAGGAAGTGGTCGGTTTTTGGCCGTTCGGCCGTCTCAGGATGCGGGAGGAAGTCGGAATGTTCAGCCGCTCGGCCGTCCTCAGGATGCGGTGAGGAAAGGTCGGTTGTTCGGCCGCTCGGCCGTCCTCAGGATGGCGATCGATCAGCGGACCATTAGTCGGAGAGACATTGACCCCGTCACCGAAGCGCAGGCCGACGGGGCAGCGCCGCGCTTGTCAAGCTGCCAACACCACCGGGACAAGCTCCCCCCCCCCCCCTCCCCCTGCCGTCAATGCGTCGATACAATATAAACGAACGCTCCGGTCCACAGCTGGTATAACGTGGAGGAGCGGGCTGACAGACCGTCTGCGACCAGCGGAGACAGGGTCCTGCAGACCGCCGGTACAACGCGGAGGAGCAGGCTGACAAACCGCCTGTGACCAGCGGAGACAGGAGCCTGCAAGCCTCCCGTACAACGCGGAGGAGCGGGCTGACAAACCGCCTGTGACTAGCGGAGACAGGATCCTGCAAGCCGCCGGTTCAACGCGGAGGAACGGACTGACAAACCGCCTGTGACCAGTGGAGAGGGGGGTACTTGCGGGACGCTGATACAACGCTGAGGAGGGGCTGACAGATCACCTGAGACCAGCGGAAACCCGCGGGCCACCGGTAAAGCACAGAGGAGGGGGCTGACAGACCGCCTGCGCCCAGCGGAGACAGGGTCCCGCGGGCCGCCGGTACAGCACGGAGGAGGGGGCTGACAGACCGCCTGCGCTCAGCGGAGACAAGGTCCCGTGAGCCGCCGGTACAGCAGAGACGACCGCGCCAACAGAGTGCTGATACAACAGAGGCAAGCCTTCTGGGGCTGACTCGTACAACTGAGGTTACATTCTGACCGCCTTTTTATGAAAAGGAGGCGAACGTTCCAGTCAAACCCTAGCGACTCCCATCCTGGTTCACTTTTGTCACAACTGAGGCTAGGGCCTTGATGTCTGTTTGTAGAACAGAAACAAGCTTCACCGTACACTGCTGTTACAACAATATCAAACGCCCTGGGGCAGGCCGTCGTACAACATAAATGACTTCTGGTCGACGGGTGATCGTCGGAAGTTTGCGTTGTTTCCACATCGGGCCGGCACAGCGTCGGTAACTTGCTACATATCAGCGCGAGCGGACGAACCCCCGAGAGCCGTCGCCGCGTCACAGTCAGGCCCGCGTCCGGCGTCGCCCGTGACGTCGGATCGCCCCCCCCCCCCCCTCCCCCCGCCACCGCGACCGCCGCCCACTCACACTTGACGCTGAGGTGGACGGGCCGGCCAGCAGCCTCGCCCTCCGGGTTGGCCGCCCGGCACCGGTACGCGCCCGGCCGAGCGGCGGCTCAGGTTGCGGATCACCAAGCTGCGCTCGTTGATGCTGACCATGTCACTGACGCCGGCGCGCGGGCTCGGGCCGCACCGGCCTCTCCTGCCGACACAGACGAAAACGGGGTTCACATGTGTACCGCCACATGTCGGCGCGCGGGGAACAATTACAACGTTTTTATTTAACAGCCAGCCATCGACACGTAAAACTGCGCCAGCAAATAACCCAAAGGTCGCGACCAGCGCTACCCCTGAAGGAACCTGGCGTGGGTGCGAGTTTTTCATGGTAACTTGAGACACAACACTTAAATTGGTCTTTCCATATCTTTCTCTAAAGAGAGTATGTCCTACCAATGGCTGTTACACTTTTCTTCAGATCATCCCCGTGCCATCTGGTGATGAATGCTCGGATGATCCTGCTTCACCTGTCCCACCGGCCTATCGCACCAAGCCACGCCGTCGCACCCACGCTGAGAGCCATCGCTAACAAAAGCACATCTCGCTGGACGGGGGCGGCCGCATCAGCCTCCACCAACTTCCCACTCCCGCCTCGCCTCGAGCGAGCGTTCCGCTCGACGGGGCTGAGTAAGGTACTGCCCACGAGCTCAGACCCCAAGCGGACCCCACCCCTGCCTCTGACTAATCACGTGAGCGGAACAACAGCTGGATACGACGCGCTTACCGCGCTACATTCTCTGTGAAAGGGAGAGAAGTAGTTGAAAGATGACCAGTGACTGGTGGCATTTGAGTGCTACAGACAGGTTTTTAGTTATCCATTAAGGGCATGTTAAGAGTATGCCAAGCTAGAGCAGGGTTTCATAAGACTGACTGGCTGATCACATGTTTTCAGAGAGGACAAAGACTTCTCGCTTTTTAGGGTGTTTGAGGTGTATCATAAAACAACGTGTACTAGAATGTTTTCAGAGTATTTCCGCCCTCACTGAGAGAGCAAAAGCATAACTCTAGATGACATGCCTCTCTCCCAATAGAAGACAAGTTACTTTCATGAATGGAAGTAGCTTGGAGTCAATTTACCATCGCCCTGATTCGCAGTTTTTCATTAAACGGACTGATAGGGGGAGGGGGAGGGGTGATGCGCCCCATCCCCACCTGTTGTTTTCAAACTTAGAAAGATGTAGCCTCGGAAAAGTTAGTGGATTGGTCTCAACGGAATTGCGTGATTAATCATGCACGTCCTTTTGCTGTGTCATTAATTAACACAACTAGTCCAGGTCAAGCGTTTTTTCGTAGGATCGAACCGTTTCCGGTTCACGTGCCAATATTTATGAAACCATGCCACGTCGTAGTGTGACACTTGCGCACGTGTTCCACGTTTAGTTTTTAGTACATCGATATGTGTTTTGTGACGCACAATGATAACGACGGGGATCCGCATGTGTTTTGTGGCGCACAATGATAGCGACGGGGATCTGCATGTGTTTTGTGACGCACAATGATAGCGACGGGGGATCCGCATGTGTTTTGTGGCGCATAGTGATAGCGACGGGGATCCGCATGTGTTTTGTGGCGCACAGTGATAGCGACGGGGATCCGCATGTACTTTGTGGCGCACGGTGATAGCAACGGGATCCGCATGTGTTTTGTGGCGCACAGTGATAACGACGGGGATCCGCATGTGTTTTGTGGCGCACAATGATAGCGATGGGGATCCGCATGTGTTTTGTGACGCACAATGATAGCGACGGGGATCCGCATGTGTTTTGTGGCGCACAGTGATAGCGACGGGCCTCCGCACGCGATCGGTGGAATCGTCCGTTGCCGCTCGCCACCCGCGCCGGGCGTGGATTGCCGTGCAGTATTCCTAAAAAACCATCGCTTTTCAGAAACCAGAAAGGCCATTGAGATGTTTATCGTGTCAAAGATTCGCAATGAATGCCCCAGAGGCTACCAGAAATTTGGATATGATTGCACGACAGGCCGGAGAGATATCTCGAGAAAACCTTTCGCGTGAGTTGCATCGACTCCCAATCCCGTCAGGGCGGAGGCATGCTCTCGCCGACTCCCAATCTCCGTCAGGGCGGGGGTATACTCTCGCCGACTCGTAGTCGCCATCAGGGTGAGGAGATACTCTCGCCGACTCGCAGGTCGCCATCAGAGCGAGGACATACTCTCGCCCTACGATGCAGGCCGAGACCTCCCCCCGCGGTTTCCCGGAATAATCTATGAATGGTTTAGAGCACAGTGCTGGAATATTGGGCTCCTGCATTTAATCATTTTTAGAGTGTTAGAAGCATTTAAGGTTTCGACCCCTACTGTTCGTACCTTATGACCTTTTCCCCGGCGTCGCGTTGGTGACATTTCGCTTAGAAAAGGCAAGTAAACCTATTTATCGCGGGAAAGGCATGCCGAAGCGGGTTTTCTAGACTCCTTTTCTAATTTTTAACACCCTGTAATGTAAAACTAGCGTCCCGGTTGTTTTTTAAAGAACGGAAATTCAAGGTCATGCTAGGTCAAACTTTTGCTTATATCTTTTCATCAAGTTTTCACTCATGTGGCGTATTTAATCCCTGGTACAGCTGAAGGGCCATTGAAATAATTACCTTCACGTATTGAACCTAGAACGACATATTACAAGTCAAATGTATGGATATTCACTCGTGCTTTTCTCATAGCCTTACACAGGTGTGTGGATTTATCAGCTTTCGTGATCTCAGGGGGGGGGGGGGGCTCTAAGGCCCCATTCGTAGGGCGAAGGGGAAACATTTCGTAGGATTAAAGTGACAGGCAAAGCATTGCTGGGTTTAGCTCACCAGCCTCATGGTTACGTCGCCTGACATGTGATTCACCGCGAAGTGAAGTGAGGCGATGTGAAGCGGAATGAAGTCGAAGTGTGCGAGGAGCTGAAGTGAATGCGTTGGCGCAGGAAGTGACCCAGCAATACCCACGTGGACGCCTGCGATCACATCATCTAGCATGCCCCACAGTGCGCACCCGACGTGGGGTATAGTCTAAAGACAAGGTCCAAGTACTGCGACGCGAACGCTAGGGAGCAGGTGCGCTTTAAGACTTCTCTCTACACGTCCTGTTGAGGCTGCCTGCCTGAATCATAAAGCGAGGCGGAGAACCACGAGACTGACACGCTGCGCCGGACCGCGGCTACTCACGTCGTGTGACCAGACAACGCTGTAGACGGCCGGGTTGGCCCGGATCAGGCACTCGAAGTAGACGTCGGCACCCTCCTTGATGTCGTCCGGGTCCAGAGCGTAGCCGAGTCTCACGGCCACGATCGGCGCATCTGAGGGGGACGGCACGGTCGGCGTCACCCGCTCTGGCCACCCACGTCACCCATCGCGCCACGACCAGTCAGAGGGATGCAGTCTCCGCTGGACCGTGTGCAGCAGTGCATGTTCGCGGATAGCGCTACCGTTTGGAAAAACAGCCTCAGATGGGCTTCTCGACAGCCACCTGATGAAAAATATAATCGTTATCATATTGTTGAAATGTTGGGGGCAAAAAAAGTAGCGACAAGTAAACGTCTGCTGCAACTGTGTCGGATATTTTGCGTTCGGCAGTCAAATACGCAAAGTGAGGCACGAACCGCTTTCAGAAAAAAACGCGTTTTATTCGAGACTGGCAGCCACAGCCGCTCTGCAGTGAGTGGTCTGAATAGCGACCGAGGTTTCAAGTGGTGCTATTGACTGAGTGCCAAACACATGCTGAGTGTATCCAATCAGCCCCAACACCAGCGAGAAAATGCGCTGAATGTTTGCTGGAAAATTGCAGCTTTAGATATTCATGGCTGGTATTCGACAAGCTTGCTCGAGTTCTCAATGACAATGCTTCCTGCTTTTGCAGTTGAGGTTTTCTCAAAGAATATGTATTTTCAGTGAAGCATATCTGACCAGCCATCTAGACTGACCAGCCGCAGGTGCCGATGTCTATTACTTTGCACTTTGATAGATTCGAATAAAGCAGCCACTCCTCCACCAAGGTCGACATAAAGAGGAGACGCAGTCAGGGGCCTCGGAACGCGACAGCACACCTTTAGTGTCATCCGCCAACATCTTGACCGCGCTTTGCACTTGATCAGGTGGGCCGTTCACGAAAGCGATGAAGAGCGTTGGTCCCAAAACTGACCCTTGTGGGATGCCGCTGATGACATCGACCCGAATCCGACCTCCAGCCCAGGACTCGTACTCTCTGCCTCCTGTGAGTTAGGAAGGCCCTGATCTAACGCAGCAAGTTGCCTCGCGTACCGTACGCATGGAGCTTAGAGAGCAGTCGGTTCTGGGGTAGAGAGTCGAATGCTTTATAGAAGTTGAGGTACGCTACGTCCACCGGCACCCCGTCCCCAACCGCGGAGCTTCAATCTGTCATGACTTCTAATAGTTGGGTGTTACAGAAACGCTTCGGGAGGAACCTTTGTTGGGCTACATGAAGGAGTCCGATCTCCGTTAAGTGTTTCATTAGTGCGTCTTTGACAAAAATTCAAGCGCATTGGAGGAAACAGCAGTAAGCCCACTGGGCAACAGCTCGCTGGAGACTTTCAGTTGCCTATTTTAAAGATCGGGACTGCTCACCTTCCCTCCACTTTTGGGAAGCCATTCGAATGTCAACAATCCTTGTTTTTCTTCTTTTGTGGTCACATCGAAGCTCAACGGCCATCGACAGAGTATCCTCACCCTCTCTCGCAGAAATCAAGAAAATACAGTGTGTTCTAGAATGTGTTTCACGTATCTGGGACCGTTTCACGTGCTCATTAATTATTCCCTTGCAGACAATGCGAAAGAAAGTGCCTATTGCTCCCCGCCGAAAAAAGCGCAACAATCACAGGGGTCGCAGGAGCTATGCCTGGTAACTTTTGAGCGCGTTTTTTGTGTTCTTTTACTGCACACAGTACAATTCAAGTAGAACACATCCGGTGGAACCAGCTGAGACCTCCAGGCACACTCCTCGTACCGTTACGCCTCTCGCTTGTAAGCTGATTGGCAAAAAGAGTAAGTTTGCGACCGGGTCAGGAACATCCTAGAGATCGATAAATTTCGAAGCAGTCAGCATGTAAAACACCATACCGTCCATAAACTGCCGCGTTTAGCGCTGCCTCGCAGAAAATAGCATCTACATAGAAAGTTCCGTGCTTCAGCGCCCACCCCACACAAAAAGCCGACCCCTGCGAGACGGCCATTATAAAGTTTCCAGTATGCAAACAGGCGGGACAAACGGTCGCCGAGGGGCTGAGATGAGCGATCGCACTCGGGGGGCGCGGCGCGCTCCTGAGCCCGGACCGGTCTCGCGCCCAATCGGAGTAATGGCGCGAACGCGGCGCCGGCCCGGCCACCGTCGCCGGGGGCGCGCATGGCAAGATGGAGATGGATATGTCTCGTTACAATGCCTCGGGGCCCAGATGGGTGAGCGCGCGGCTCTGCGGCGGTGACCGGGAAGGCTCCAAAAGAGAGCTTCCGGGGAGAGGAGGGGGCTGTCTAGTGTCTAAACCGGGAGCGGCAGCGTCCTGGCTATCCA